TATTCTACTTCATTTGCTTTATTTGGTGGAATAATAGAAAAATCCCTGATTATCATGTAATAATCACTGTTAATTCCTGTTATTCTTCTGTTGTTATGTAGATTAAGTTGACCAGAGCTATAAAGAGGAACTATCACTGCTGTAGCAAGTGCATAAACAGGAGTTATCTGCAAGTTGTCCAAGTTGTCACATTCTTGTCATGTGAATTCACTCCATTTCTTAAAATAAAAAGAAAAAAAAAAAAAGCAGAAGAAGCTCCTTTATCCATCTGAGATCCATTGCTAAGGGAGTGCTATCATTCTACAGTAGGTATTAATAGTACTATTTCATGCCTTCTGGCATGTCAGTCACTTATTCAGTTAATGTTCAGAAGTCGATAGCATTTCAGAAATTCATAGAATCATAGAACAGCCTGGGTTGAAAAAGATCACAGTGAACATCCAGTTTCAACCTCCCTGCTATGTGTAGGGTTGCCAACCACCAGACCAGGCTGCCCAGAGCCACATCCAGCCTGGCCTCGAATGCCTCCAGGACAGGGGAATTCTGTCCCTTTGCTCTTCTTTTGGTCATCAGTAAATATCATTTCATCAGTAGAGTCTGTGTCAGGAATGTATTTGCCTTAAATGATCTTCCATGTACCTACTATCATAGAATTTTCTGACAATTGATTTCTCCACATGTTTTTGCTCTTTTTTTGTGTGTGTATGTTCTTCTCTTATAGAATAAACAATGATTTATCTAGAGTTATTTCACACTATGTCTTTCAGCACATCCTGAAACTTTCAGCCTTCTGGGGCAGTTGACATCTCATGCACATCTGCATCTTAGATACTTGTAGTCATGTTTCACCACTTGCCATTTCAAGAAATCAGTTTTGCTTTGGTTATCTATTAGAACTCATGTTCTTCTGAAAACCCTAAAGAATGCAAAGTTTGTGTGCACTGTCCTTTTACCAAGAGAACCCCCAGCTCCTTCAGAAAACTGTGAATTTGGAACAGATATGTTTTGCTGGAATATTATATCCAATTCACATATTGTAACAGCAATCTCTGTGAACGTTTGCTTTCTTTCATTTAAAATCAGTGTAAGAGTAATGCCAGACATCAGGACTTGTAGCATTTTTTTATATGAGCTTTTGATCGTGTTCAAACTTTTCTAGGTTATATTTTGCTGTTGGCCATCTTTTTCAGTGAGAAAGAGATTATGCTGCATTTAACCTACTAAAGTTTTATTTGATTGGGAATTCCCCAAGTGGAATATACCCAGGAGGAAAGGAATTGATAGAGAAAAAAAAAATCTTACCCGTTTATTATTTCTTTCAAATTTGTGTTCTTTGGTTCTTGTTGCTGGAGAAAAGAACTGGATCAGTACATGGATTTTTCCCCCCCTGCATCATGGATTCGCTGCCTGCACATAGCTACATGTGTATGCATTGAATAGAAGGCCTTGTCAAAATCTGTGTCTTTACTGGATGGAGAGTTACCTGAGAGAGTGCTTCAGTAACCCTTACAGCCACTACCATGTGACTAATTGTTATTTTAGTCTTATCCTAAAACGAATGAGGATTTGTACAGTAAGATCTGCGTGTTGCCCTGATATGGAGAACAAGATTGTAAGGTAGAATGCTGGTGCCAGGCATGTATTCAATTCTATTGTATATGTCTACATCTTGATTTGGAAAATGGGATTATACAAAGACAACTTCTTCTAAAATAGTGTTAGTCTGGCAAATCATGCAGACTTTTAGCTGACTCAGTTCCATTCTTCTTTCTGTAGCATGGAAAAAAGAATCTCAACTTCCTTTGGAAAAACGCTGTGTACTCTAAAATTGGAATAAATGGGGGTGGGGGGAGAAGCAGACAATTCTTAATTTGATAATTCCTTTGTTTTATTTGCAAACTTACAGCCTTTGTAATTTGGAAGTGTGGCAGAACTTGTGTCACAACTCACTGTTCAGAGATCTGCAACGCTAGATTTCCTTCAGAATGCCTTCCTTTGGATCTGCATTGTTTGTACTGGTTAGCTCAGGCAAAATTGCAGGTTTCTTCTACTCCTGAAAAAATTAGATTTGCAATTCACCATGCACACAGCTGTAATGGGAAGAGCTGGGTATGTTACTGAGCCTGGACAGAACCTGTGCTTTGGCCTTGGTGTCTGCTGGGTGCTTGGGTCCCCATTTGACTGCCTCAGAAGTCATGTAACTTTAACATGTATGGTTCTACAATGGCAAGAGTGTGTTGATGCATGACATGCTGTCTGGGAGGGTCCATAAGCCATTATCCATCATGGGATTTTTGAATAGTTTTGTCAGTTAAAAATGTGGAAATCTTGAGTGCTGGAGTCTTTCTGTTTAGGTTGCTTCATTGTAAATAAGTGTATTTAAATTATAGTTACAAGATGTGTCTCTAATTCCATAATTAGTTACCACTTACAATACTGGATAAATTCTGAAGCAGTGTATTTTCAGATATTCAGTTAGTGCTGCTTTACTTATGTTTTTAGTTAGTGACTGTAACACTGGAGACTGAATGTGCTGTTAAGGAGCGTGGGGTAGGATCAGAGGATAACTGAGATGGGAGGGACATCCCGGAGATCTCTGGTCCAACTCCTGATCAGAGCAGTGAGTCAGCCTTCAGGTCACACTGGCTGGGTCTGGAAAACCCCTCCGGATAGCCTGCTCCACTGCCTGTGTCCTCCCATGGAGGTGTCTTGCTACATCTAGCTGGAAGCACTCTTGGAGCTTGTGGTGCTTTTAAGAGGAGTGAACTTAAATACTAATTTAGATGCATGAAGCTCAAGATAAGTAGCGATTATTTTCCTACTTCAGTTGGTTGGATCTAGTATCTTCCCTCACCCCACCCTGCTGACCTGAGAGGGCAGCATTTCACCCTGGGAGCGTTGCTTTGAGAAAGCCGGTTGCTCAGTTGTGGGTACAGGGTTAATAGTTATCTAGACATAGAGCTTTATCTTACCTCTTGAAAAGCCTCTGGGGAGTGGATAAATGAGGTCTGCTAATTAAACAACCTAGAGGCTGCAGAAACATGAAAGTGGAACAGGTGAGAAGAACGGCAGAAAATTCCAAGGTTTCTCTGCCAGCTCAGCCGGCAGGTGTTGACAGAAGCATAAAGGTGGGGATGGGAAACTGCCAGCTTTGCTTCTCCCCTTTCACAGGAAGGATTTAATGCATCAGCTTGTTTGAATGTCACTCCAGAAGAAAAATTCAGATTTTGTTCCCAAGAACAAGAAAAAAGTTGTCAAAAATAGGAATAGCAAGTGTATTTCCTCTGAAGCTAGATTTTATGCTTAAAAACAAAACAAACACACCTCTTATTTTTGTTGTTTTCTGACAAAATCAATTACATATTAGACAAATTGATGTTAGATTTAATAGTTTTCTGTGTCATGTAAACAAAAGGCATCTGGTTTTATATTTAAGAAAATCAGCCATAGCTTAGCAAACCATGCTTATGCTGGGGGGAAAAAAGCTCAGCTTGTGTATTAACAGGAGTCTCTTGAGTACTTGATATCGGGGAATAAGGATTCTGTAGTTCAAAACTGTAGAATCATAGAATCACCGAGGTTGGAAAAGACCTCCAAGACCATCCAGTCCAACCATCCACCTACCACCACCACTTCCCCACTAAACCATGTCCCCATTCAACATCCACACATTTTTTGAACACCTCCAGGGACGGTGACTCCACCACCTCCCTGTGTGGGAATAGGTCACAGAATCACAATTATTAATAACTAAAACTGCTCTGACTTTTTACTAGCAAGGTCTGTCAGTCTGTAGAAAAAAACCTGAGGCAAGGTGAGTGCATCATTTCTTAAAAATCAGTTTCTTCAGTCTGCTTCTTCACACCTCTGAGTCTTCGCAGTTTCTTTTTCACCTGAAAAGGTCACAGGATTACACAAATAATTTCTGCATCTCTTCATGCATACTTTGACATACTTGGTGTTGCCAGCAGCATTTCAAAAAGTGGTTAATGCAAAAGTCTGTGTTCTGGGTAATTTCTGGTTTTTGTGGCTGATTTAACACCCTCCCCCAAGAAACAAATCATGAAACCCACCCCAAAACAACAACAATAACAAACAATGACATGGAATTCTTGTGCTATAAAACTCATAAAAGCTATTCCTTGCGATTCCAAAAACAGTGTAAAGGAAACCCAAATCCATCCATCTAGTCAGTCTTGTGATTTTTTTTTTTTTCCTTTTACGTGACTCAGAAGGTTGGAATTACTGATACTGTTAATTCATCACATCTGCATTTGATGTTCTACTGGCAGAACTGGAGGTCAGTTGCTGTAGTGCTTTAGGTCAGAGTGGCTTGTGAAACTATTTCTCCAGTCTGTCTGCCTGCCGTACTCTCTGTTGCTGTTATCGTTCGCACTCCTGGAAGGCCCTGCCTGCTTTTGGCATTGCAGAGGGTTCCTGCTCCTCTTTCTCCTGGTCTCTGGACGCTGGGACAAGGGCCCCTCCTGTCTGCACTGTCTGTCTCTGCACTCTGCCCTTTTACTTCTTGCTCCTCCCTTGAACTTTGTTGTAAATTTGGTAGGATCCGTGTCTGTCTTAATGCACGGATTAGGACAGTGCTGATACTCGTTATTGATTCAGTGCTTTGGGACCTCAGTATGCCCTAACCAATGAAGATTGTTCGTGGATTCAGTATTATGCTTCTTCCTTTGCTAGTGCACGAAATGTGGCTGGGGGAGTGTTTCTGAGATTTTAACTTGTGGTATTAGCCTTGTTGCTTTCTTGAATGAAGATCCTTACATGTGAATAAAGTGAAAACACATTCTCAGGTTCTTCTCGTGTTGTGCTTGATACTGGTAACCCAGTGCAAAAAACCTTCCAGCCCAAGCAGAATATGCAAGTTGGTTGTGGCCATATTTGAAGTCACAGATTCACAGCTCACCTCTAACTCAAAAACTTAATGGTTTTCTCTTCCTTTTCATTTAAAACAAGTTAACTTTCTGAACCCTCTTTTCAAACAGATGAAACATGTGGAAGACAGATTTGGTGACAGTGTGCAAGAAGAAGTGCTTCTGCTGTGTCTGGGCGTTACTTCAGGAATTGGCCGATTGATCTTTGGCAGAGTTGCAGATTATATTCCTGGTGCAAAAAAAGTTTATTTACAGGTACGTCTTCACGTGGTTTTGAAGGAATATATGTACACAAAAAGCATTCTGAAGGCTTTGATTGCAGGTAGGTAAGTAAACAATAAAGTGGCTGAAAATTTTAAGCCTGAGAGATTTCAGCACTCCAGGAAGCAGTCTGGCTGCTGATACTCGTGGGCCCCTGATGCAAAATTTGTGAATCTTTCTCCTGGTCTTTTTTTGATTCTTATACTGAGAAACTGTGGTTACTGAGTGAGGAAACCTTTGGTGATTCTGTAGGCTCTTCTTTCCCAGTTTTATCCGTAACTTCTTGATAGTTACTGATTTCTTCAAGTTCCTCCATTAAGGATTTTCCCGTTCTCCTTTCCTGATATTTCTTAGGTGCCATCTTGGTGTAGCATTTGTTCAGTGTGTAGCACATGCTGATAAGGCCAAAGAGACTATTACAGGTGCTTAGCTGAGAAGCTTTTGCTGTGTGAAGTAGGTTATCACAGTCACATGGAGGAGGTAAAGCACCACTCCTTCAGTTTCCAGAAATGCAGAAGCTTGAGAACGAAGATGGAAGGAAGATGGATACCCATTCCATCCATGCTTATGAGCACTGTTTTTTGAGAAGGTGGCAGTTTGTGGGTTCCTTTTTTTTTTTGAGAAAGCTGTAACTTGCGTGTTACCAACTCCTGAGTGTTCTTGTTTTGTTGTTTTTTTAAAAATGAGAAGTAACAAGGGAGACATCTGATGGCTATTCTCTGTACTACATTACTCAGAGCAAAAATAATTGAGAAAGAACCAACTTTCTGAAGCGTCTGTTGCCATAGTCGCGTGCATTTAGACTCCCTGATGAAAGAGCCTGGACCCTAATCTCACTGATTTGGATTGATTCAGTACCTATTGTTACAGTCTTAGGAAATTTCAATATTAAATTGAAAAGTGAAAAGATAGCACTGAGGTGTTACATGATTTACAGTGCACTGATACCTTCCATTATTTTTGTGAAGTAGATGTCAAACTTGCAGTAAAACTGCAAGCTTTTTTATTCTTTTTGCTGGATGGAACTGAAAGACCAGGGATCTGCTTAACACGTGAATTCTGTTGCTTTTAAGTAACATTGCTTTCACCAAATTTTAAGGGAGTAAAAACTTGCAAAGCTCTGTCTCTTCATCTTCAGCTCTCCTGTTTCAAATGAGTGTTTTCTGGAGGGGAAGTGAATATTCACAAGTGGTCAATCTGGGTCAGCCAGCAGTTCATACAGTCATCTTATCTTGTGCAACACTATTTAAGAACCAATGCAGATGAAAGTTCTTTCCTCTTGGAACTGTTCTCCCTTAAGCTGAACAACTTACAAGAGCTCTCTACAGTAAAATCAACCTTCAGCTTTCTCTTTCTGTGCTCCTCAAAGAGCTCTTTTGCTGGATTTTGCTTTGTAAGTGATATCTTCACTACTAAAGTTATACATTCTGCCTCTTCCAGGTAAAGCATAGAGATTCTGGCTTTAGTGCTGTGTGTAATCTTAATATGATAATGTGACTAACCTGGTCAACAGCATCTTCTTTAGAGTTTGCCTACATATAACTATGTAATTTCTTGGTTATAAATACATCTTAGTATTTGTATTTTATGTATCAGAATACAGAGAACTGAGAACTTCTTCACTTCTACCCTTAAATTCCTATAAGAAGCTCAGTTCTCCAGTAGTTCATCTATCTGTGCAATATTTCAAATGTTTTCCTTAGTATGCTAAATAAATTACAGTGCCCAAAGGTAATTTCTATACTGTCCTGAAAATTCTCATCTAGTTGTCTTCTCGAAGATTTTTCATAATGAACTCATTTATGTGATGTCACTTACTGTTCAAAAAGTTGTGATGTCTGGGAGGGACTTTGTTTGTCTTGTCTTGTTCTATGGGTGAGCAATGCATAGTGTGTGTGCCTTGTTTGGAAAGGTGGGGCATTGGGTTTCCATGCTGACATAAGAATGGTGCATCAGCAAAACTTTCTTCGATTTTCTTTGAAATGACTTCTGCTTCGTTTTGTTGAAAGATGGTTTTATTCCTTTAATTTACTGCAAATAGCAATAATGAAATTCACTGCTTAGGATCTTAGAAGATTAAAAATATGCAAAGATAAACACGGCGATAGAAATACAGCAAGATGCCTTTTTATGGAAAGATTGAAATGAAACTTTCAGGTACCATCTCTGAATATAAGCACTGATATTGTTACTTAAATTACAACAGTGAGGAGTCCAATTACAGTGCATTTTAGTTGTGTGATTTTTTTTTTTAATATCTTTGTGGGTTTTCTTTGTGAAAAGAGCATAGAGCAATTTTGCACGACATGTTGGCGCGCAGGAAATGATGCCCTTACACAGTACCTGTGGGTGCAAGTGTGCTCTGGGAAAATTGAGAAACGAGCTGTGGAATCTCTTCAATTGCATATTATGGCAGTTCCAAGTGTTTGTTTTATTTGCTTTTGAATTTCCAATAGTGGTAATGTGTGCTTATTTATCTTAAAGTAAATATGAATTGTCCACGTATGCAAGAAAGCTCATCTCTTCCAGTTATTTTGGCTGAGTTGATGCAATATGTTTTTATATTCTTCTTTGGTCATGTTTAGGTGGCATCATTCTTCTTTATTGGCTTGATGTCGATGATGATTCCGGTGTGCCACGTCTTCGGAGGTCTCATTGCTGTCTGTCTCTTCATGGGCCTGTTTGATGGGTGTTTCATTTGCATTATGGCTCCTATTGCCTTTGAGCTTGTTGGGGCTCAGGATGTCTCCCAGGCCATAGGATTTCTCCTTGGACTTATGTCAATACCTATGACAGTTGGTCCACCCATTGCAGGTGAGAACAAACATGGTCTGTAGCTGTAAATAGGCTTCTGTAGTTGCCAAATTGTCTGTTCCTATATCGTATGCATTGCATTTACATTGGATTTTTTCTATCTGAGCTCCAGAATATATGACGAATTTAACTGATGCTTCTGGCCTATTGATTTACTGGACTTTTGAAAAGTTTGCTTCAGACATACGTGACCTTTGTGTATTCCAAAAGCATCGCTGTAGTGATTTTACTTTGTCTTTCCAGGTTTGCTTCGTGATCGCCTCGGTACCTACGATGTGGCATTCTACCTGGCGGGAGTCCCCCCGCTTATCGGCGGAGCGATATTGTGCATCATCCCCTGGGTCCATGAACGACATAAGTTGAAAGAAAGGGCAAAACCCGTTGATGGAGAAACTACTGAGAAAATGCTGGAAAATGAAAGCACTTTGGTGTCAGATGCTACGGAAAAGCCAGTCAAAGAAATGGAATCAGGTGTTTGATGCTTTCTTTTCCTATACAAGATGGACTTTCTTCTACCAAAGCTACATTTCTGCTTTTTGGCTGAAGATACTACATGATACTAAAGATGTTCTGAACTGCTGAAATTGCAAAACTACTCTTTTATACCTGAACTTCTTTTGAGGAGTCATTGAGTTTGATTTCAAGCCACATTTTCAGAGCATTTGAAGTTTTGCAGCATTAGTGTGTACATGCGTAGTGATTCTGTGTGTGAAGAGAATATTTTTCTAATTCATCAGAATGTATTTCTTGGAAGTATGGAAGCTGTGTTTGGTTCACTGACCCAGGACTCTTCAATAACTTGTGTGCTCCACTCAATGCAGGCACACCCAGGGGTGTTTTATACTGGAACATTTAGTAGCTCTTAAAACTGATTTCATTTTTGAAGTTTCTTGTGCTGTTTTACAGTCTTTCAGAATTCTGTATCATGATTCTATTTAGTGGGGAAATACTGGTGGTAGGTGGATGGTTGGACAGGATGATCTTGAGGTCTTTTCCAAACTTGGTGATTCTATGATTCTATGAATGTGAATATGCATATTTTAGATTCCCTTCGCTCTCGCTGAAATCATTTAGCATTACAAAGTTAAATTATTAAACATCTGTTTTGTTTTCTCTAAAACCCCCAGATGGCTCAGTTTAATCATTCACTTTTTGCATTGATTCACCTTTTCACAGTAGCCTGAACAAAGAGATGACATTTTGGATGGAACCAGGTTTTGGATATGCACAAACTGAGCTTAGAATGCAAACGCATTTGGAAGTACAGCTGCTGAATTACAGATTCTTGATACTTTTTGGTAACACAATGCTATTGATGTGTAGATTATGTTTTCACCTAAGCGTCACAATTCCTGATGGTGGTTTTGAAATTGTACTGACAGCAATACTTCAGAGCAGGACTGTGAATTAGCCTAAATTTCAAATTGTCCTGTTGTTCCCTTCAGGTTTTTGTTTTTTTCCCCTTAAAACCGAGACAGCTTTAAAGATACATCCTAAGTGCAATAATATGAAATCGTTCTTGACACGTGGAAATAAAGGGGAGCTATTAAAACAACGCTCAACAAGATATTTGCACTAAGTGAACATGCAGCTTTATTTTAGGTCTTCGCAGCTCTGTATTCAGACATAAAGAAATGTCTTTGCACGTCCTATTGGCTGCTTATCATACTATAGTATGTCCCGATTGCTTATGTGTTCTTAGGTATGATGTACTGTTTGTCAGGCGTGTATTTCTGGATATCTCCTATGAAAAATATTTGAAAACATGATACTTTCAGATGAAAACAAGACAGTTTATCTTAAAAACACTTCCAAGCGCGTTGCTTATCAGTGGGTGTGGATGAACAGTGCAGTGGGAATGCCTGAATATTCTTTACGTCGTGTGCATTGAGCATTTCTGTAGTCTTCAGGAGTGGCATAGCAGAGAGTAAACTGAATGCGATCTAAAGACAAAGCGCACCCTGAAATGCACTTTTAATAAGTGGCAGTGCCTGCTCTTTATGTGAACCACAGAGGGATACTGTTTTAAAATTATATCACTTGATGTCTCCTCTACTTCTGTTGTTTTTCTGTTTTTCAGCATTGTAGTAAACTGCCAAGAAAGCCCACGAATGCTTGTGATCTGAAACACTCTATTAGCAGTGCTATTACTTGAAATGTTTACATCTGTCAGCTTAAAGAAGTCTTAAATGGAATCACACAGAGCATCCCAACTATCGAAGACCAGCACTGATAGTTTGTATTGTAGAATTTCAGTTCTTGTCTCATGGAATGTTGGAAGGAATTGGATTTTACAAAGTTAATGGAGTAGATCAGCGGGACTTAGAGGTGGAAAACAATCCTTACGGCAGCTGTCCCTTTGGGTTCGCTGGGACTCGTGCTTCTCCATGTCCCAAGTGCTCATGAGAATTTCATTGAAACATTAATAGCATTGCTAATTAAAGCAAGTACCAAATGCTGCCTTTAGTACAGAAGCGATAACAGCAGCTCATGCTGTTCCAGTCTGGCCTATCTCTGCAGATCAGTATTACCATGTGTGGGCCGTGCAATGGATTCTGCTGATTGAGTATGATTAAAAACCTCTCGTTTCCTTTTGCTTTACGACAAATGAATATTCACCGTGAGTCTTACACTTCATGTGTTGTAGCTTTGGGAGTTTTTAACGACACTAAGGCTGCTTTTCAGCATTAATGTGACTTGAAACTGTCATGATGAGACATCTTGATGTAATTGTAGCCAGGAGAGGATATAAAGCAAGTGTTGTTAAGATTTTTAAATGATACCGAAGGAATGTAACACTAATATGGATTAATTATTGTTAGACCCTTTAGAAACGTATCCATACATAAAAATTCAAATGTTCATATTTGAGTAACTAAATACGTGAATTATCTTCTCCAAATCAACTGCATTTAAAAACAAAACAAAACAAAAATCCCAGACAGTGGCCTTGGGAAGGGAATTCAGAGGGAATGATCACATAGCAATGACCAGAGCAGTGTTAGAAACAGATGCTGAAATCAGGATGTCAGGTGGCAGATGCAGAGCTAGGGCTCATGAAGTAAAGTTGGTGCAGTGCTGTCGGAATACTGAACCTATTGCTGATGCCAGTGCTTGTTTCACAACGGTGCTGCAACTGAAAAGACTTCAAAAAAAATGAGATTTCAGAAAAGGCTTTTAAAAAAATGAATGCATGAGAATTCTGATAGCATCTTTACTGCCAGCTCACGTCTACTGGGGAAATGAATGTCCAATAGAAAAAAGTCTGCATTAGACAGAAGCGTGAGAGGATTGCATCCTAAAATTAGATAAGAAGTAGTCAAATAGGAAGTAAAATTCAGATTGTTGGCAGTGAGACTAATTAAGCATTGAGAAACTTGCATAAAGACATACTGAGTGCCTTGAGGCTGTGAAAGTGAGACTGCCAATCCATCTCCCCTTTCAAAAGAATAAGAGAGAAATGTCCATCACAAACAGCAGCTGGTTGGTACGCTTTAGAAAAAATGACAGCACGGTGTAGAAATGTTTGTTATTTTGAAAACTGGGAGGAAAAAGCACCAAATATTTGATTTTATTTCATCTGAATAAATGTAACTTTTTTGTAATTGCATTTAATTTTAGGAGTGGAAGCCTGGTCATAGGAAATCTATTGAACTCTCATTTTGATGATGTAATGTGTGTCAGATCTACTCCTGTTGGGGATGGATTCTGTAATGAAATTACTGCTTCAGTTCAACAGAAACCCTTAAATCATTCTGAGATGCAGATGTATCTCTCTCTTAAGAAGTTCGTGCTTTCATATACATTGCTGTCTCACCGTATAAACAGAATAACCCTCTTCCTTTTTTCCATTGGGTACTTTCAGGGTAAGCTTCTAGAAGATACTGGGCAGAAACAGCTTCAGTTATGATTCAAACTGCAGTCCTACTCTGTGCTGTGACTGCATACACTGGATCTCAAAAGCAAAACTGATTTTGAGCAAGGGTTTGGTTTGATGGTTTATATGGCTGACAGTTGTGATGCCCTCTCAGTAGGTATTGAGGTCCTTGGAAATCTTCTTAAATCTGCTTGGCAAGGAGTCTGAAATAGTGCCAAGGCTTCATATTCTTATTTTCATCTATGCTATTCAACAGTATACAAAGCAAAATTTATAAAAATTATTGTTGGATTTATTCTGATTATGTATTTGCAGACTGTTGAAGTATCAGAGATCTCAAATGCCTTTTTTACCATTCAAAAATTCTACTTATTTCCAGTGACTCTTCATGGATCCCCCTCCATTGTAGAGTCAAAGGTGGCATTGCCACAAGTTCTGTTCTGTGGTCATATGTGAGGGTCTGTTTGAGATCAGGTGAGGTAAGCATTTGATGCTTTTCTCTTGGCTCCTGATGCATCATGTTTGGATGTGTACATTCCTGAATTCTCACTGAAGACACTGGATTTTCAAAGCCAATGCACATCCTGTTGTATATGGATGGCGCTTCTCATACCTTGTCCCTGCATTAAACCTTTGAGCAGCCATTGCCTGATGGAGAAGGCATTTCATGGAGTGGCAGAGGAGGCTGAGGCAGCCCAGCAGAATACTGAGCTGCCCACCCATAGATGAAGGCTTTGATCACATTCTTAATGTATAAAATATGGACACCATGGTTTCAAAGCAAAAACGCCCTGCTCAGTTGCTCGCAGCAGGGAGCACATGTCAGAGGAACAGGAGATGCATCCTTGTGGCCCTGAGTGGAGCACCTCAGGACAGAAATCACAGCTACTATCCTGGAATCATCCTGATGGGTGAGTTTAAGCACCGTGCTGGCAGCCCTGCTCAGCTCGTGGAGCCCTTTGGGATCTGGATCCCACCGTGGGAGCTGACATCAGGCACTCAGGGCATCCGTTGGAACCAAGCCTCTGCTAGGGAGAGTGTGTGTGTATGTGTGCACGTAGGTAACGCCGTGTAGTTTGGCTGGGGTGTACACAGTCTGCATTTAAGCACAGGAGCTGCAGCACTTGGACGTGACTGAGAAAATAATTCCACTTACACATCTCTGTTGACAAGCATAGCGCCACTACAGTTCCAGACAGTGAGCGTATTTTAACGCTGGCATATTTTCAGTATGCCTTTTAGCCTTTTCTATATATTGTGTCAACATTTTAAATGTTTCAGAACTGTGTGTTGAGTGATTTTATACTGAAATGTGTGCTAATACTGGTAACACTGTTGTGTTTCGCTGTCTTTATAGACCTCCTCTTTTGTTTGTTGTTTTGGGTGTGAAAAGATGCACAATTTGCCAGCCTTAACTCCATTCTTTAAGATTTTGCATTGTTAGAAAGGTTGAAAGCAAAAAAAAAAAACACTGTCTGATGTCTTTCATGGTGCTATAACAATTGTGACCAACCTCAAATTGCCCTGAATAAAGATGGTAGTTCTTAAGTGCCCCATTTGTTACTGTGTGTATCATTTTTCAATCCCGTTTTCCCCGCACAACCTTTAATTTTTTAAAAGGAATTCTGTGTTTTAAGGGAATTGTGTTACATTTTGATACTGAATCTCAGCTGCGGCCTTTTGTATTACAGTCCGTGCCTGCAGCTTTCCTTACCAGTGTGATCTGACCGCTCCTATATCAGTATTCAGTGCACTTTTTTCTAATGGCACCGACACTCCAATTTGAAACCAGGGCCTTATAAACCTGAACTACCACCTTCCAGCTGGGCATGCTTCATAAAATTCTGTCTGCTGCATTTTACATGCCGGGGTTTTAATGTCAAGCTTTGCTAAACTGTCACATTCACAACAGGAAGAAGCAAAAGTGAAGAAGGGAGGGAAAGGGGTAGAACAAACTTGTGACGTTTAAATAAATAAATAAATGGGTACGTTTAGCTCCAAGAACTGCCAGTGCAACTCAGAGGGCCTTTGATCACGTCCTGGCCTGCCACCACTTTCACCTCAACTCACCTTGGCATCACGAGGTGTTTCCTCATTGACAGCTCCAGTACATCACAGGAGTTCACTCGCCTTCCTTTTTTAGCAGTGCCAAATATTTCCTTTTCTTTCAGTAACAAAGCTGATGCTATTGGGAAAACATTCCTATTCATTCCGGGCTTATTCTCCAGGCTACTTGTATGTCAGATGAAAATCTGAAAAAAAAAGATGCTTGAAACCTTTCCCTAGGAGCCCAAGTGTCGCTGTGTACAGAACCTCTTTGTAAGTACAAAACACACCAACACACTTCTCTGCAGAAGTCTCCTTATGGAATACATTACAAATACTTCTGCACATTTTCCAGTGTTCTCCTGTACGTTCCAAATACCACCTACCTACAAAGTGCTTTAAAAAACCCATGAGCTGCTCGGAACAAGCAGAGCAGATTTACACAGACATCTTAATGTAAGCCATGAAGAGAGACCCTACGTGCATGTGTGAGCACCTTGGTGCAGTCCAGGCATGACAGGGCACATTCACCACAGCAGACAAAGAGATCTCTTGTCCTAAGTTGTCTTCAGAGCTTGCTATCAGTTACAGCATAGTTTAAAAATAAATAAATATGCAACTGTTTTGCCTGACCCAGTGCATAAAAACAGCACAGTGAGAGCAGATCAAATTAATTCTAGAGAAAGTCTGTTAAAAAACAAAAAACAAAAAGTTCTTCAAAAACACCAAAAGCAGCCCTCTGCTGCATTCAGTGCTCATTATGCTCCTTGGGTATAAAGAGAGCTGTAAAAGCGTGGTGTAGCTGCACTCTGTCAGGTTTGTATGGAGTTACATGCTGGGAGTATGCAAGCACGAGTCGCAGCTCTCCCTTGCTTTACAAACAGCAATAATGCCAGTGACCTTTGATCAGTAAGGCAAAGCTTTCTGTCTTCAAATGATCCAAGATCTTGCTTTTGTTCATCCAGGAGAGGCAGACTGAGCACTAAAAAAAAAAAAAAACAACACCAAACTTGTATAAGAAAAGTTACTAATGAATTACAAGCTGCTTTTTTTTTTTTTTTTTTTTTTTTTTTTTTACTTATTTAGAAGTTTAATTACTATACTTGTGTTGTTTTCCAGCTCCTGAGTAAGATCAGAGGAAATACTTAAGTTTTGCACCATTTCTTCTTTACTTTGCTTGTACGTCAGCAAGGAGCTCTTAGAGACTGCAGCTCTCCGGAGCACCAGCAACAGAGAGGGATGTGTGTATGATTAATGCCAGGCACACAGGCTGACCTTCTGGAGGAAGAACTTTCACAGCCTTCTGATAAGCACTGAAGAAACCTTTGGGTGTTACTGACACTGACTTGGAGATAAAGGACCATAAATTGGATCAGTCAGTAACAAGAAGTACAGCTTTCCCTGGAAGATCGTAAATGGTGCTCGATAAGAAAAGGGAACTCATGCTTTCATAAGGACTCTCCTGTTTGACTCCTGAATATAATCAGAGCAGTACTGCATAATTGGGTTGTGCAAGTGCAGTAATAACAGCCTTTAAAAAAATTGCCAGAGGCTGCAGATGGTCACAGAGGTTGCAAATACGTTACAGGCAGAGAGATAGCGCAGCTAAGTGTTCTTGGAATAGACAGACTGCATTTTTCTTAGGCAGTAGAGATAAGAGGAAAAAAAAAAAAAAAAAAAAAAAGGAAAAGCAGAGAGAGAATTTATAGCCACTGTTTGTAGCTGCCATATGCAGCATTCCAGCTCTCCTTGAACTCCGGCACTCAGGGCCGTGCCCGCTGCCCCGTGCATCCCGCTCCATATCCTGTGCTGCAGACCCTGTCCCTAACCCCACTGCCCCTCCCCTGACGCAGCTCCATGCCGTTCCCTCGGGCCGCGTCGCTGCCACACAGAGCAGAGCTCAGCGCTGCCCTCCGCTCCCTGTGAGGAGCTGCAGCCGCCATCAGGCCCCTCCTCAGCCTATTCTCTCCGTAGACCCCAAGCCCGCCCCGCTCGCTGCTGTCTCTCAGCACACCCCGCCCGTACCGGAGTCTGGCCCGCCCTCTGTGGGCGGAGTCGCCTCGCGCCTCGGGCGCCATTTTGTACGCCTAGCGGAGCGCTGTCTCCATGGGAACGGGCCAGGCTGGGGCCGCGCCCCGCAGAGCCCGCCGGGAGCTGTAGGCTTCCGCCGCGCCTCGAGCTGCCGGGGCGGGGCTTGCGGTTCCGGGTTCCCTACGGGGCCGAGCGGCCGTGCGTGCCGGCCGCGCCGCTAGAAGCCATGGCCGGCGCCGAGCGCAAGAAGCACGTCCGCTTCGCCGGCCCGGGGCAGGCGGCGGCGGGGCCCGGCCCGGGACCTGGACCGCGCCTCTCCGCCGCGCCGCACGCGGAGGTGGCCGTGGTCGGCGGGCGGCGGTGCGGGGAGGGAGCGGCGCTGCGGTGGTGCATCTCCGCGGCGCTGTGCGCGGCCTTCCTGGGGCTGGTGAGTGACACCGGCTGGGCGGGTTAGAGGGGCCCGGCCCGGCGATGCAGCCCTCGGCGTTGTTTTGCAGGGCACGAGCATCGCCGTGCTGGGACCGACCTTCCAGAACCTGGCCGACAACGTGCGCAAGAACGTCACCGACATCTACTACATCTTCGTGGGCCGCTCGTTGGGCTACCTGGGCGGCTCCGTGCTCGGCGGGATCCTCTTCGACCACGTCAACGCGCACCTCCTGCTCGGTGAGCGCGGCTCGGGGGGGCGGCCGCGGGCAGCGAGCGCCACCGGGGCTCCGCTCGGCTCCGCTGTGCCTTGCGGCTGGAGAACGGGAGGTGGAAGTGCAACCCGTGCCCCTTGGGCTGCTCTTCTCTGTAATCCCACAGTTCACACTCTTGCAGCGCACGGCCCTGTGTTGTGGGGCTTTAGAAAGTACGCAGATGAGGCAGGTGGGACTGGCTTGGCTTCTTACTTGCACGGCTGTGTGGGAGAAGCAGTGTCAGACTGTTGCCTTCGTTAAAGCTCGGCTGAACTGTTTGTCCTTGCTGCACAGAGGCACTGAGGCTGTGGCTGGGCAGCCTTAATCCAATTACAATTTAGTTAAAGTGGAAAACTTGGTGTCCTGTCTGTGAGTTTGGAAATATGCTGCTGGTTGCTGCCTACCTGTGGCAGTGTTTGAGCTCTGTAGGAGCAGTGGTTATAGTCCTGATGGTTTCCTGTACACATGTGGATTTCCTCCTGCGCTCAGACCTGTGCTGGCACAGCAGGGCTGTACAGCTGCCAGCAGCGGTCCTCATCCCTTTCCTAACCCTTCCCCTCCTGCTCCTCCATCTCTTCATCCCTTCCTTCCTTTATCTGAGTGGATTCATACAACTCCGAGCACAGAACTTTACTCACAGGGCTCATTTTGGGAATAGTTTTCCATTGCTTGTGTTTGAACCACTCTCTCCTTATCCCACTGGCCTATCTCCTGCTGCCATGTGCAGTCACGTAATACAATGTCTGTTTTTCTCCTCTCTCTATCTTCCCCTCTCCAGACCAGTTCCTTTAATTTGCTCTTGTTATACGTATCTTGCAGCTTTATTTATCCTCTTCCCTGTTCTTTATTCTCTGCTCCAGGTCACATGTAAAGTGCCTTCCCTTCAGCTTGCTGATCCATGTGTATCTGGCAAGGGCAGAGTGGATTATATCTGACATCTGAGACTTTACCTCCTATTATGAAAGTAATACACCCCTGAAAGTCAGTGTGAACTTGAAGCAGTTTAGGATTTGCTCGTCTTTCTGATATGTCACAGGATAGCTCTCTGTCAGTAATGCTTGAAAAATACATTTTGTCTCCAAATTCTTTCCAATTTGATGGCACTTAGAGCAGAAACACAATCCAAACTACTGAACTGCCTCATGTTTCTGTCAATCTGAGGGCTGACTGAGGATAATGGCTCCCACCTTCCAGCTGTTGAAACTCTGCTGCTGTGCAGATCTTTAATGCTTCAGTCAAGGAAGCTTTTGAGCACTGGTCTTCAGGTGAAAATTGGGAGCGGACGCTGAGGAGCCACTTTCTGCTCTGACAGACGCCTTGGGGAAGCTGTATTTAGCACCTCCCCTCTGTAGCCTTTTCCCTGTGCAGCTCACTGTGCTTCCCTTGCAGGTTACACCAGGGCAGGAATATCAGGTATCTCAGTGAAGTTCTTGGGCTCTTGGTTTTTTTTTCTTTTCTTTTGGAAATTGTTGCTAAATTTATGGCGAGAAACCTTGTAGTTCTGCTTCTGAAGACTGCAGAAATCACTTGGAATACACTGCTGATCTGAGAAGAAAATAGAAATGAGAGTCAGCATTTTTATACAGAGTGCCTCTTAGCCAGTAGGGAGCCTCACTTCACAGGATTTTAGGAGTGTAGTGGTTTTGAAGTGGGGCCAAATATAATGATCTGTAGTTCTCAATAAAAATGTCACTTTGCTCAAACCGTTTTCTATTTCTTTTGTGTTAAAGTAATGCTTTTAACTCAAAAGTTTGCAGAAAAAATGCTTCTTGGGGATAATTGGCATACTAAGTACTTAGCAGCAGATGGTGCCCTATTTGCAAATTAAGCCTTAGCAAAATGAAAAATGAAACATCTCATTCTCACTAAAATCATTTCTTCCAAAATCATCCTGTTGAATTTTCTGGCTGCCTCTGCTATTCGCATATTCAGGTAATGAGGTTACAGCATGTATTAGGGTTATCTGTAACTTGAGTAATGATAAATGTATTTTTATTTCTTAGTTTGCTACATGTTTGCAATTGAAGTGGTAACTGCAGTATTTGTGTTTTGTTTGTTTTTTCAGCCTTATCCATGCTTGGAACCACAGGTGGTCTTTTTGCCATACCATGGTGTAAGAGGTCCCTGCTGCTGACTGCCTTGATGTCACTCATCGGTGCTGCCATGGGAGTTCTTGACACGGGTGAGTGGCAGCCTGCTCCAGTGGTTCCTCCACTGAATGAACTGGAAACCCGCAGGTGACAGTTCTGCTGAGAATCACAGAATCATAGAATGGCCTGGGTTGAAAAGAATCACAGTGATCATCTGGTTTCGACCTCCTGCTATGTGCAGGGTCACCAACCACCAGACCAGGCTGCCCAGAGCCACATCCAGCCTGGCCTTGAATGCCTCCAGGGATGGGGCATCCACAGCCTCCTTGGGCAACCTGTTCCAGTGTGTCACTGCCCTCTGGGTGAAAAACTTCCTTCTAATATCTAACCTAAAACTCCCCGTCTCAGTTTAAAACCATTCCCCCTTGTCCTATCACTGTCCTGCTTTGTAAACAGCTGTATAGAAGTGACTTTGGCCTGTTTCACTAAGCACAGTTGAATTAGAAGAGAGGAGCTGTTTTATCTGGCCAGGATGCCCGGTGGGTTATTCTGGTCTTGAGGCTTTGCTTTTTGTGTTTGTAAAAGTGCTTCTGTATGAGAGAGCTGGGTAACCTTTGTTTCCCTAAGCAGATCAATATGCATTTTGGTGGGTAGTTACAGGCTTAAAAAAAATGCCATGTGCTCTTTAGACATTGTTTCTCTTAGAATTTACTCCTCTGTGGGAAGCTAGTTAGGTTATTGTTCATTAGTAACTGGTTTGTCAGATGAACTAGGTTAGTCCTATGCAACTCTGGGTGTTTGAGAGGAAGGTTCTGCCAGTGGTGTTATGGGAGAGCTGGTGGCCTCAGCTTGGAAGGGCCAAGTTTGGGGATTCACAGCAGATATATTCTACCATCATCGGCTTACAGAGCTATGTCATCAGTCTCCCTGAATTAAGGCACATGTGCTGCCCTTGGCCAGCCTCACTTAAATATGGAACAAATATAAACAAACACCTGTGCTTATAATGTTCCCTAGTAGAGGCTCCTTACTGGAGGGAGATGCTGAGCAGGATGAATTTGCAAAGCAGAAGTCCACTGGTGTGGCTGGAAGGGTTGGTTATACCAGGAGTACAGGGAGGAACTTCTCACAGAAATCAGTTCTTTGGGCATGCCTGAGGCAGCGCAGTCTGCTGCTGCGGGCATTTCAGGTCTCTCTGTCCAAACACCTCTGAAGTATCCAGCCTGGGGCTGGTTGGAATGGTGTGGCTGGTGGGCAGCGCAGTGGAGCGATGGCTTCATGGGAACCATTGGTCGTGGCTGCATTCAGTTTGAGAGGGCTCTGTTAATGTTAGAGAAAGCCTGTTGGGGGACCTTGTTGCAAAAAAAAAAAAAAAAAAGGTGGTTTTGCACAGCAAAAAGAAGGATGTGAGTGCAGAGGTGTATCTGTAGCTTCTGGTAGGATCGCTGTACCTGGCCTTTGGCTTCAAAATTTTTCGTATGGGACAGCCCTGTGGGCTTTCAGGGAAAATTTATTCAGCTTTGGGACTCCTGTTCCCAGCAGGAGCAGGAGGGACCAAGACCATGGCAGTGATGTAACGGAGCTGTGTTAGAGATGGGTGGCAGGGGTGGGACTTGATTTCTGTCCTTATTTTCCTGCACTCTCCTCAGGAGCAGTTTACGGATGCCTCTCTCAGGTCTTATTTTCTAGCACCGTTGTTGGTCTGAGGGTGCTGCAGTTTGGCTTCTGCAGCAACATTGCTGTAAATCTTTCTGCTTCTGCAAATGCAGTGAGCCATTTGAACACAGCTGGCGTGGGCCCTGCCTGCAAGGTGTGAGCAATTTGTGGTGTTTCCTGGGAAGTTGTGTAGTGAGAAGCTGATTCATAGCACCGTCAATTTTGCTTTTGAAACTTAGGAAAAGGAGAAGCAGAAAATAAAAAGGTCTTAAGCTGCTGCAAATGATGGGCTGCTGATCTGTTAAGGTGGCAGTGGTGCTACCTGAGGCTGCACAATGTGCTGAAAAATCTTCAGTTTACAGCCTCCAGAGAGGAATGGCCTGCCGTGCCAGACTCATCGCATCAGCCATAACAGGGCACGGACAGAGAGATGGCCAAATAGGGGCAACTGTTGTTGGATTAAGCCACTTTTACTTGCTGTGAATGCCCTCCTACCTTACAGCTAATCACATGGGATTAAGGTTCTCAAATGCACAATTACACTTAACCACAGTTTTGCACGTTGTATTCATTAAAACTGCTGTTGTTGCGAATTGAATTCATAACATAATTGCTATTTTTAAAACAATACCTGGTGTAAGGTTGAAACTAATGATTCCTTCTCTCTCCCATCTGCAGGTGGCAATGTTCTTGCACTGAACACATGGGGAACAGAGGCCGGACCGCATTTGCAGGCCTTACACTTCAGTTTTGCCATGGGTGCATTTGTGGCTCCAATTCTGGCTAAGATGGCAATGGGGAGTTCCGAACCCAGAGACCTTCAGGCAGGTGAAAATGCAAGCCAGTCTGTTCTGAGCCCCGTATCAACAGCGTCAGCTACACTAGCACTGAAACACCATCTTGGTGCTGATTTCTTGTGGTCCTACATTGTCATAGGGACCTATCTGCTGTTTGTTTCTTTCTTCTTTTTTATTTTGTATTCAAAGAGCAGCTCGGTTCGAGACAAATCAAAGGCTTCTGTGCAGAAATGCAAGGTTGCCAAATACCACCATGCCCTCATTATTCTCCTTTTCCTGTTCTTCCTCTGCTACGTGGGAGCGGAGGTTACTTACGGCTCTTACATATTTACTTATGCAAAGGTCTTTGCTGAGATGAAAGAAAATGAAGCAGCCGCGTTGAATTCTGTCTTCTGGGGCGCGTTTGCTGTTTGTAGAGCCGTGTCAGTATTTTGTGCTGCTTGCTTATACCCTGGCACTATGATTGTGCTGAGCCTCATTGGCTCTGCCGTCTCCTCTTCCTCCTTGGCTTTCTTTGCACACTACCCAATTTCGCTGTGGGCTGGAACTGCAGTGTACGGAGCCTCCATGGCCACCATCTTCCCCAGTGGCATTTCCTGGATCGAGCAGTACACGGTCATCCAGGGGAAGTCAGCTTCTCTCTTCGTGGTTGGTGCTGCTCTGGGGGAGATGTGCATTCCTGCAGTGGTCGGGTACCTGCAGGGGAGGTTTCACCACGTTCCTGTGGTCATGTACACTGCTCTGGGAACTTCGGCAGTGACGGCTGTGCTGTTTCCTGTGATGTACAAATTGGCCACCGCTTCTGGAGAGAGCTTGAGAGAGATGAGCGAAAGCGAGGACAGGAAGGCTTTGTTGTCCAGTTCGGGGCTTAACGAAGATGAAGAGGATGAGGAGGATGGAGGAGAGTGGAATGAAGCAGACTTTGAGGTAATAGAAATGAACGATACCCTGAGAAACTCTGTGGTAGAGACCTCTCTTAAGGTAGCGGGGAACTCCCCGTCAGAAGCCTCCCTCCAGCCACATCCAGGTGGTGCTGAGGGTGATTCTACAGTGGCAGCTGGCGGCTCCCCTGGGAGAAAAAACATGAATGTTGACCGGGAGAAGAACGATTAGAGTAAAAGCTGACTCTCTGGGTTTTTAACTAAAACGCGATGGAATTGTAGCTGTTGTCATGAAGTGGTTCAAGGATCTTCTCAGAGTAAGAAGGAGGTTTCCACCTTTGCCCGTCCTTCCTCCTTCCTCAGTTTGGGTCTGCAGCGATGTATCCCAGAGAAAGTCCACAATGATGTGAATGTGGTAACGTGATACAATTTGTAGACTACACTGAAGATGCTAAAACATGAGGGATTTTCTAAATGTCAGGCATGCATTTAAGTCATTTATGCTGTGATGTGAGCTAGCTGGGAAGAAGCTGCTCAGACCACTTGGTTTCTTGGAGGTGGGTGAAGGGTTCTGTTCTGAGCTCCTTGGTCACAAAAGGTTTTCATCAGAAATCTCTTGCCTGTGGTGCTGAACTTTCTTAGCTCGTGAAATATTTCTACTGCATTGGGGGTTGGTGTGTGACAAACCAGGGAATCAAGAAGTTGAATTTCAGGTGATGTAAGTGGGATATCCTGATGGCCAGTCACACACTCTTCTGATTCTGTCACTAAGACAGGACAGAATGAAAGATTAATTTTTATGCCTTTGGGTCACTTAATGGTGGTATATGGGAACGAGAACAAAGAGTGTCATTTATCTGCTGTGCGGCTTAACTCTGATTACTCGTTAACCAGTGGTGACAAACCTAAATACTTTAAGTACCTGTGATTGTACTTGTGATTTGAATTACTGCACTACCATTGAAAGCTTCAAATGTATGAAGAATATTCAGTGATATGTGAGATTAAATTGTGTTAATGACACGGGGCCATGATAGTGTAAGCCGGTTCAGTCGAAAGGTTTAACAACTTCTCTGGGCTTCCTGTGCCAAGGTTTTTCCACAGCAATGTGTAACAGCGGCGATTTGAGAATGAGGTGGAATTATCGATGAGACACAGAATCCCGTCCAGTCGTACAGTGTGCCTGCTGGCTCCCTGCTAGTTGGGTGCTGCCCTTTGGCTTTTCTTTCCTTCGGTGATGACACAGCAGGTGCCTCCTTGTGGAGAAGCTGTGGTTTGTTTGCTCAGATTCATTCCTCCGGGGGAAGGAGGGAAGCCCTCAGGTCTGGTTGTGTCGCCAAGTCCTTCCCAGTGAGAACCAAGAGGCAGCAGCTAATGGCAAAGCCTGAAGCAGTAGTTCTGCAACACGTCTACTTGAAAACCAAAAATTAATAGGTTGCTGTTTTTTGAAGCTGTGTGGTCAAAATGTGGGTTGGTCTTCTGTGTTGTTTGGGTTTTGTTGTTGTTTGCACTATTATTGTTTTTTTTGCTAAGAGGTTTAATGCTGACAAAAGGAAGAGCTCTTAGTGTAACATAGCACAGAACTGTGGATGTTTAGTGTGTGTTTTAGTTGTTTTTGTTCTTTCTCCTGTCCCACTGTGTGTTTAACCTGGAACCTAAGGGCTTTTTCCTTTCTCCTGAAAAGGTAGTAAGAAAGATGAATCAATTTGTAGTGAAAATGTGTTTGTTTTTTTTTTTTTTTCTGTTTTCTCTTTTTTTTCCTCCTGCAGTGTTGAAGGGCCTCCTTGTCCTGCTGCTGTAGGCATTTAAATGCCGTTGCCTGTTTGCCTGATTCTTCTTTCCATGTGTGTATTTATGCACAGTTCCAATGCAATGCATGAACCTGCACTTTAACATATGGATTCTCTCCACCTGCTACACAAGAGGTTTTCTTCTTTGCTCAGAGCTTTTGTAAATATTTCTAAACATCTGCCCAAATCCTGTTCTGGCTACATGTGGCAGCATTTGATCAACAGAAGTAGGTCTGTATGGCCTTATGCATTCAGTTAGTTTTATGTAATAGTCACAAAAGAAATGTCCTGGCAGAGAGAATGACAGATTACGCCTGGATTTCTGATAGTTTTCTTTTTCTCTCTTCCCTCCTGCACTCTGCAATAACTAACTGCTGTATATTTGGAAAATAGGGAGTGTTATCTGACAGCACGGGCAAATCCTGTTGGTTTTATGGGGAGAGGAGGAGCTTGTGCTTCTGCTCTGCTTTTATGGGATGTACTTTGCCCCCAGGGTGTCACAGGTATCCTCTGGTAGAAGGGCTCAGTGCAGGGCAAACAATATCAGGAACCCAGGAGGTGTGGGGCAGCTCCCTGCTGCGAGAGCCATCCATGGGTTTGGCCTGAACCAACGGCGCGACTCCTGATCTGTGTTTGCAAAATGAATGAATGCAGGGCACAAAGAGTGTCCCAGCTGGGTTATGCACCAAAGCAGCAAACTTCTGGCTGTTTTCCATCTGAAGTAGAAGTATCTGTAATTAGCAATTTAAAAAATAGAACAATGGAGGCTTCTGCTGATGGGAATCTTCAGTTATTTTAAGAGAGTCTCCCATACCTGAGATCATGTCGTCAGAAAAAAATTAGTTTAAGAAGCTTGCCTGAAAGCAAGCAGATTTTAAAAATAACTTGCAATTTGTACACTAATTTCTGAATAAATTTCAAATTAGAATGCTCTGCAAGGAAGATTATTCTCAGGGATAGTTAACAAGTTTTACATAATCAAGTACAGAAAATTAAGGCCCCATTGAGAAATGTGCTTTAATGTCTTTGAACCATCTGTATGTATGTTTATTATATGTATGTGAATAGCTCTATACACCGATAGGTAGGTAGGTGCATGCTTATTTGTGTTTCTGACTAAAGTCATCATGGAGAATGGAGAAATGCTGCCCAAACTAAAACCCATGACTGGCTGAGTGGCAGTGTGTAACGTTGTGTTGGAACAACACCCAGAAGCCTTTGCCTGGATGACTGCAGAACTGTGAGTTGCCTTTGCCAGGACTGAAAGCTCTCGGTGTCTTAGTTTAGCTTAGGCCTCAAACTTGAATAGCACATACATACAGAGCTTGTGCTCATCTCCCCTGAATGTGTGTCTAGAATCAGTGGGTGCCCCTTAATGAAAACAAAATGTTGAATGCAATTTAAGGTGAAAGCAGACCTAGGACCTTTGCAATGCTGAGCCCAGCTCGTGGCAACTCTAAATGTCCTCGATGCTCAGGGCTGTTGCTTTCCTAATTGATTGGATTTTTGGTGTTCCTCAAGACCTGTTTTAGAAAATGAATATTACTTTACATATATTTAAATTTCCAAAGTGAATCAGTTCTTGGCATATACATGAGGAGCTATTTACAGTGTCTTTTTAAGTTAAGGCTAACAGCAGTGTTTAAGCTCTGTGAAGGACTTCTTAAGTGTTATTTATGGTTATTACCATTGCCTTGTTTATGCCAGAAAGTCACCCTGGTGCTGTGGTGAGATGGTTGAATGTCCTGTCATTCACACTTTTGCCTGCAAAAGCAGGACTGCATTGAGGATGGTCATGCTCCCATTTCCTCCAGCATTAAAGGTAAATTCTGACAGTTAAATGTCAAACAATATTTGTATTTAGCCCTGACTCATTCCCAAAGGCTGGACTGTACTGCAGGTACTAAGGAGTTACTGCTGGTGCTTGCACTGCTGCTCTGTAAATGACCCTTCAGTGCTGGAATGGGGAGTGGGCAACAGTTTGTGCCTTGGTGGGTTTTTGGTTCCTTTCCATAAAAGCTCATAGTCTATTATATATTCATCATTTTTATTTTGCTTGTGGTGGGTTTATATAGTACTGTATAATGTGGAATTTATAACATGGACTTGTACCTTGAATGTAATAAATTCTTAATGGGAGGAGGCACTCAGGTTCCTTTATGTAAATAAAGTTTTGTTCTATTTTTAAAAGCTACTCTGGACTTGCAAATGTAAAGCTTACCCTGTTTGGGCTAATGGAAAACAACAGGAATGTTTTATCCTCTTTGGAGAAGGCCTCCAGAAACCAATACTGAAGTTTTACATCCCAAAGCTTAGGCTGGAAACTGCCCTGTGCGTTCCTATTGCATCGGCGCTGTATCTGCACCGAGTGAGGGAATCAATGGCAACTGAGTGTTAGAAGGAGGAAGCGTGCAGATTTGTACCATATCATTTTATTCAACTTTAATATGGTTTCCATTATTAACTTCTAAAACAAAATGATTTCCAGTTTAGAAAACAATGCACTGACCACATAATTCCTTTTCCATTTTATACAGTTATACAAATATTCTAAATACACATTTTGTCAAGATGGTGGCAAATAAGATTTAACTGTACAGTACGTAAGGAAAGAAAATATTTTAAGCATATTTAGAAGCAATAGAAATGTCTATACAAAACAAGCAAAAATGGAATAAAATTTTATATTTAAAGTATTGCAACAGTCCCACAGGTTTGTAACAAAAATGTCTTTGCACAGTTCCTCACAATGCCCCATTAATAGCTAAAGCAAGACAGCGATTTTTAGAAAATAATGTTTCAAAATGCTACACATGGTACTACTGTTTGTTTGCACAGTCTGATCAAAATAACAATCTACTCAGAATCAAGCAGAACTGAGGAGGAGATATACCAACCAACTTTAAAATTATCTGTATAAAAGTCATTGCACATTATTTTACTCAGTTGTTTGAAAAGTAAAAAAGTGTATTTACAAAATATTTCGCAGACAAAATTATAAAGTGAATGGATAATATAGAATAACACGTCTTGATACTGACAGTCCAAGAACACACACAAATGGATTTATCGTTTCGAGAGGTTTCAGTGCTCCTTCCTCCAGGAAGTAAACTTGACTTCTACTTGGCAATGGATTTACAGGATGTTACACACAGCTATTTCAACATCAGCATTATAAAACAGTATGTTAGAAACATGAAAGGAAGAAGGAATTTGTACATCTTAAAAAGTGAGCTATTCATAGATCAACAAATGCATTTTTTAATTTAGTTAGGATAAGCGTTCGTTTTATTCCTCAGATAATAAACCCGACAGTTAAAATGGAAATCCTGGACTAGATGAGTTGAAAAAGCACCATGCACAATAGTCCTAGTGTGGTAAACACTGAAACAAAATAGCACCTGGAGTCCCGTAACAGATCATTCAGAACTGGTCGAGGAGCTGGCGGAGGTACGGCGCCTTCGATAGTTCTCTGCTCACTCGGGAGAGCTTGAAAAGCACTGGGCAGTTCAGGGAGACGCACGGGATCTGTCGGTCAAAGCAGCCTGTACAGTTCTTGCATATCTAGATGGCACAAAAAAGCAGAACAGATTGCTTAAGCTTACCTCAAAGCATCGAGGATGTAGAGATGTCGGTGATTTACGCCTTACTGGCAGAGCAGACCGAGCCCTGCAGGCAGCCATCAGCAAGATCTCAGCACAGAGGGACCTGAGAAGCTCTGCTCTGCTGCAGCCTCTCTTGCCCTTGCCAAGTGCTGACTTTGATGCCAGTCCCTGGAGGGCAGATGGCAGCCCCTGGAACTGGGCAGGGGCACAGCCTGACAGCACAGCTTGGCTTACAGCCCTTCCAACCAAGTTGCTATTTCTGCTCCGCCCCTGTGTGATGGCACCTGGGAAAAGAACCCGAGCAGCTGAGGGATTCAAGCAGAGCAGCATGTTATACTCATGTTAAATGTACCCTGGATAAAAGTTTCCAGGTGAAACAAGACAAAACTCCAGTTATTCTCTATGCAGGAGCGGAACTTCACTAATAAGCCACTTATTTCCAGATAAACTTCAATGAGAGCTTTTACTTTGCAAGTCAGAGCATGCAGGCAGAACAGCTCATTAATGTAGCCAATGCTGCTTTCAAGGATTTTTACCATGAGGTACCTGATTAAATAAATAGCAGTAGGCAGAGCTTTTCCAAAGCTGTTTCCAGAGAACACAAATGGATCTGTTTTCAGGAGACTTCCCCTGCTTTCCTTTTCTTTTTTTTTTGATTCTTCCCAGTACTAAGCCAGCCCCCAACAATTTTTCCAAAAACTCTGAAGAGCCACTCGTGGTTCCATAAGAATTTTGACCCTGCCTACCACTTGGAACCAGAAATGAAATGTCATATCTACAAACTCCTTTCCTTTGCTGTTAACATCAGTTTCTGTACTTTCCTTCGGTCTCTGAAGACCAAACAGAAGCAAGGTGCTTTCTTAGTTCAGTTTGCGTATAGTGAAGAAGTCTACAGCCTTAATTCAGGCAGCTAATTTTTAAGCCATGTGTGATTAAACCTGTATATCAATGTTCTGCTAGCGCTGGCATGTTTACATTCCAGGAGGGCCATGCATTTCAGCTGTGAGGGACAGACAAAGCTTCAGATGAGCAGAGAACACAGCTCTTGCTGATGGTTTAAGTCATCAAATACTGACCAGAACTGGACCCCAGCCCTTGCTGACCTGCTGCAATGACACAAGGGCATTCTGATCAAAGCCGCTTCGTGATCCTAATGGGGGGCTGGGCCCAGTTTTCACTTATTCCAGGACAAAAACAATGTGAAAGTACCACAGGAAAACTGCAGAATGTGTACCTTGTTCCTTCACTGTCACTACAATGCAGATCAGGGCCACCATTGCAAAATACAGCATGAAAACATAAGTCCACAACGTAGTGTAGTATTTTGGAATTGTGAATTATAATGGTTTCCTGGTTTTCTAGTACTGTAGCTAATCACTACAGGAACATTTATTAATATCCCTGCAATTCACCAAGTCATTAAGCTGGTTCAGAAACCAGTGCCAAAAATTGATTTTAACAGCAAAATAATTTTAAAATACTATAGTACAAAAATTAGTCAAGAGCACACTTATGACTCTTAGAGGAGAGGCATGGTGCTTTGCAGGCACCTAGCTGTGAGCATAGCTAGCCAGTGACACTCTTCATGGACTTCTAACTCAAGGGGAAAAAAAGCGTGGGAAATTTCTGACGAGAAAAAGTAACAAAAAACTCAGAACACAGCCATATCATGCACACAAATAATTTTTTCTAGGACTGGAGCTTTTTTTGTAAATGGAACATCATCACTTACGTTAGAACAAAAGGTGCGTGTTTCAACATGGTTTTTATCACCATCACTGTAAAAAGGAATCTAAAAACCATCTAAGATACTCTTAAAAAGAAAAAGAAGAAAAGCATCTTTTGTTCTGTTTCTCTCCACCTCTTTGGCTTCAGTCTCATGCAAAGCTAAGGAGAACAGCAGTTGCTGTTTTAGAGCCGTTGCCTTTTAGAGCAGTGGGAAAAGCAAATGAGTTGTATCACATTTAAGACAAGGACTGCACTTCCTTTCTACTGAGGGCATTCAATGACTGCTTTGGAGCTCCAGCCTTTGCCCACAGCTGGCAGCTGGCTGACAGCGCTGTAGCCATACCTTGACCAGCTGGTCTTGCTTGCGCTCCAGCTCTCGGATTTCCTGGTTGAGAATCACTGCCACATGCTGTGGCTGGCTTCTGCACTTAGTACAGATCCCGTACTGGGTCAGTTCATCACACACGGGACAGTGTAAGGTCGTGAAATACTGCGAGATGGTGCCTTTCCGTCCTTCCAGCTCACTGCGGGCAGTGGAGGCAGTTTTCTGAATCTGTTAATAAAATTTAATGGAACAAAAATTAGGAGGGCAGTAACTTCCAAGAGAGCAGCTTGCTTTCTTTCTACAGTACAGAGATTCTTCTTTTTCAAGGAGAATAGAAGTAACAGCCTCTGGGGTGTGGGTTAATATGCAAATTATGAATGTGAACACATAAGCACAGCACTGGCCCGAAGTGAGGCACTGAATGGGGCCCACTCCTGCTGTGACTTGGTTCACTGGGAAGCTCGTGAGAAAAGAGAAAAACAGCAACCACGACATCCTCAGTCACCTGCTAAGGTCCCAGACTCTGCTCCTGCACTGGTCACCTGCAGGTGCTGCCCTGTTACATGCCTAAGATGCCCTGGCTGCACCACCAGTGGCTGCAAGCCTGGAAACAACCAGCTACATATTTCTGGTGATAGAGGTTTTTAACAAAGTGTTACTGCTGCTTGGGCACTCCCACCTCTACCATAAAGAGAAAGTCTTCAGAACATCTTAGAACAGCAAGAGTTCCAATATCCACTATCGTGAGACAGTGAGTACAGCCAAGCAGACAAATATACAGCTATTCCTCTAAAAATAAGCTATTACAGCAAAATATTATTTTGAGCTATGAAAGTGGTAAAAAAATGACAATGTCATCAGCCCTGAACAAAAGGACTGGAAGGAGAAATCGATTTGCTAAGTGAAAAAAATCACACTCAAGGTCTAAGAGTCAATCCTGCACATCTGGGCATCAAACCACAGCCCTGCAAAGTAAACAACTTCTACGTCACCTATCGAGGCCTGACTGTGTGAAAAACCATGATAAAAGCAAACACTGCACAGAGGCACCGCACTTGCAATCCCATTTGTTTTCAAACACGCTTACCCTTGGCAGCTCATGATACCAGCTGAAGACGTCTATGCCGATCAGTGAGAAGACCCTGGCCAGCGGTGGCAGAATCTGTTTGGTGATGTAGTAGGTGGCATTCAGCCTCAGGCTGGGGTCCTGCAGCACTTCGGCGGGCCGCCTCACCAGCTGGATGAGGGGCAGCCCAGGCATGCCGTACACAATGACATAGGGCACCCGCTCCCCAACCCGCGGTTCAGAGCGACGGTCGTAGGCGAGCATTCTCCTGTTTAGAAATAGATTTTGTAGTGCACGCAGGGACAAAGTACAAGCCAGGGAAACAACGAGGAAACCTCTACACCTGGTGATACGTTTAGTAGCTCTGCAAAAGTCTGAAGCTGATACCTATTACTAAGCACAGGACCGAGCTGTTTTATTTTTAGCATGCTAAAAATAAAACACGACCAAACCTGAGTATTATAAG